TACATTCACAGTGTTGTGTAACTACCCCTCTATCTAGTTCCAAAACATTTTTCACCAAAAAAGAAACCCCCACAGCAATTTAGCAATCAGTTCTCATTCCCCCAACCCAGCTGCTGGCAACTAACAACCCACCTTATATCTCTATGGATTTACCTATATTAGATATTTCATGTAAATAAAATCATATGGTATGTGGCATTTTGTGTTTAGCTTGTTTCACTTAACAGGATGTTGTCAAGGTTCATCCACACTGAAAAATACTCCATTGTATGTATATACTATAATCTGTTTATCCATTCAGCTCTTAAGCAACAATTGGGGTATTTAACAATGTTGCTGTGTATATTCATATATAAGTACTCATCTGAGCCCTGTTTTCAATTCATTCTGGCGTATATTAGTAGTGGAATTGCTGGGTCAAATGGTTAATTCTACGTTTAAGTTTCTGAGAAATGTCCAAATTGCTTTCCACAGTGTTTGCACGATTTTACATTCTCACCAGCAACAAGTTAATTTCTACATGTATTTACTGACACTTATTTTTAGATTATAGCCAATCTGGCGGGTGTGAGGTGGTATATCAAGGTGGTTTTTTTTGTTTGTTTGTTTGTTTGTTTTAAGATTTTATTTATTTATTTGACAGAAATCACAAGTAGGCAGAGAGGCAGGTAGAGACAAAGGAGGAAGCAGGCTCCCTGCCGAGCAGAGAGCCCAACGTGGGGCTCGATCTCAGGACCCTGCGATCATGACCTGAGCTGAAGGCAGAGGCTTTAACCCACTGAGCCACCCAGGCGCCCCTAGGTTTTGATTTGTTTTTCCCTCATGATTAATAAATTAAGCATGTTTTCATGTGCTTACTGGCCCTTTGCATATTTATTTGGGGAAATGTTTATTCAAGTCCTTTGCCCATTTGTTAACTGAGTTATCTTTTTGTTGAATTGGAAGAGTTCTGGTAGTTTGGGGGCACCTGGATGGCTCAGTAGGTTAGGCATCTACCTTCAGATTAGGTCATAATCCCAGGGTCCTGGGATGGAGTCATGTATGGGACTCCCTGCTGAACAGAGAGTCTGCTTCTCCCTCTCCCTCTGCCCCCTACTCCTCCACCCCCGCTTGTGAGAGAATGCATGTGCTCTCTAATAAATTTAAAAAAAAAAAAAAAAAAAAAAA